ACCGAACTAGGTACTTTTAGATCTACCCACTCTTAGATATAACCCCCTTAAAACATGTTTGTTAAAGAGGTTGTGTGAAAGCATGCAGTAAATGTGTCACGACCCTGGCTAAAGCTCATTTTCTCTCAGTAGTCTGAAAGGTGAGGAGAAGCGTGGAGGAAGTGGATCTCACAACTGGGGCACCGTCAAGGATGATGTTAAGTAAGTTGTCACGCACGCAACATAATCAGCAACCATAACACTTCCTGAGTGAGCACCTGCAGAAATATCCTTCTGTCATGTTTGTTTTAGACAAACCCACTTGTCGTTGTTGTATTTGGAGGCAAATTATCCTTTCAACAATTATTTGAATGGGAAAATAAACACTCTAAAAAGCTAAATAGTAAAAGATACTATTTACTTATAAGTAATTGATTAAAAATACTTTATTTTGATAATCACATGGGGACATTTTGTTTTAGTTTTGTTCCACTCAAAAGTGAATGGGTAGTTCTCCTGCCACCAGTCCAAACTCAGAATATTATAATGGTTTTAGTTAAACGTTGATTATATTATGACACATCATACATGAAGATGGCAAGAAGGATCCAGTTGAGCACAAAAAAGTAATTTATAGTACTTCCATTCTCAGTACTAAACCGTATGACATTTGTTTTCCTTCACAGCGAGCTCGACCAATCAAACGTCACTGAGGAGAACCCTGAAGGCGAGGAACATCCACCTGCTGACTCTGAGAACAAGTAAGTTCTTGGTTTTGTTGTAGTTTTACTGTAATTGATAAAGGTTTTCATGAGATACATTTCAACACTACTTGTGTTCCAAGCAATCCACCAACCCTGACTTGTATTAGACATTAACGCTGTGACACTGTGCGTCTGTTTGTGTTGAAGGGAGAATGAGGTTGAGGAAGTGAAGGAAGAAGGCCCCAAGGAGATGACTCTGGACGAATGGAAGGCCGTGCAGGACAAGGAGCGAGCCAAGGTGGAGTTCAACATCCGCAAGGCCAACGAGGGCGCTGATTGGAACAAAGGCTTCGTGCTGCACAAGTCCAAGGCAGAAGTGAGTCAAGCCCCCTCTGCTCATTCTCAACACAATATGTCACATTCAATTTAGCTGTTGAGTTAAGTAGACTGAGACAGTTTGTTTTTTAATAATGCAACAAGACATCCGTTTAGAAAAACAGGCTCTACGATGTAGTCATTTCATAGAGACTATATTTATTAATAAATGATACACCAAGGGTTCGGACGTTGCAGGAGCATCACTCGATTAACTGATAAATAAAAGAGCAAAAGCTCGTTTATAGCCCCATGCTTCTATCATGCCACAGAACTTGGTGTAACTTGATTTGACCTTTTTTTGGTTTGCTCAAGTATACTTGACAGCGATGTCGTGCAGAAAATGTATATGGAGTTTTACATTGTTATTGATTTATGATCATATATTTCAAACTTTATTTTGCCTGTTAGATTTGTTAATGTGTTTCTTTTCTCCATCACAGGAAAAGAAAGAGGAGGTTATTGACCCTGAAATTGAGGAGCTCAAGGTAAAATCTTTAGTCCATTATCTGATTGCTAATCAAATGCGAACAAAATAAACAAAACATTTAAACCTACAAAACATTTAAGTCATAAATTGTCTTTTCACTTGCTTTCTAATTCAGCTCGATGATGAGCACCACTTCCGGAAGCCAGCCAATGACATCACGTCCCAGCTGGAGATCAATTTCGGAGATCTGGGACGCCCAAGCCGCGGACGCGGTGGACCACGTGGTGGTGGTGGTGGTGGTGGTCGGGGCGGTCGTGGACGCGGCGGGCCCGGCGGACCCCCCGGCCCTCCCCCTCCTGGAGCCGAGGCCCCCAGGCCAATCCGCGGAGGAAGGACTGACAAGGTAGATAACCTTCTAGCTCTCAGCTGGTCTGACATGTCATTAGCACCTAAAGTACTTCCATTAAAAATGCATTGTGTGTTTAGTTTATGTAAGATTAAAAGACAAAGTTGCCAACAAAACAAAAATTGACTAATTTTGAATTTGATCAGTCAGCCCACGACCTGAAACTCCTCTCATCCCCTTCATACTCTTGAGGTACATCTTTAAATGTTTCAATTTTCTAACTTCTGTTTTGTTTGCTTTTCCTCAGTCATCTGCGTCTGTGCCCAACGTGGACGACCCAGAAGCCTTCCCAGCTCTGGCTTAAGCCCGGCTGCGGCCCCTCAGGCCCACAGGAGCCCCCTGAGCACCTCCACTACGAGGCTTGCATGTTCCTGGATCCTTCAGCAAAGTAAAATGATGGAGAAGACTGTCATTAACTATGGCACTCAAAGTGAGGACTGAGTTTTACCCAATAAAAACAAAACGAAGATGGAAAAAAAAACAGAAATTAACAAAAAAAAAACAAAAAAAGAAAAGGACTTCTTGCTACTCTGGAGCAACTTATTGGTAGAGGTTTTGTACTTGGAAACAAAGTAGCAGGGATGTTTTCATACAGTATTTTTTTCAGAGGTTATGCATTGTCCATTGATGAATATTTGTAATTGCTGCTTGAATATATGCATTTCGAAATGTAAGCATAAGAAGGGTGTTTTTCGCTTGGTGTGAGCCATCGCTTGCTCGCTTTAAAATAGGCACTGTAGGGCTCCAACCCAAGCTCATAAGCTCTGCCACACCAAGTCTTTCTGATGAAGTTAGAGCTTCACGGATATGAATTTTTTTTTCTTTAGCACTGGGATATTGTTTTATATTTTATACAGGAGGTCTATTCTTCTATGATGTTTGACCTGTAAATCTTGACTATTTTCATACGGTGCAAACAGGACACACCTTGATCTTTGATCGAGCGTTGCTAACCACATTTGATTGCATCGAGGAAATGACGCCTAAATCTGTATTAAGGTTCTTTTGTACTGATGTTCTAATGGAGGAATATTTGGTCATTCTTGAGGAACACATTGCTGATTACTCTCCCAAATTTGCATTGATCCTGAGATGTCAGACGGATCAATTTGAAGCCCAAAGTTATTCCATGCTTTCCGATTTCTGAGGTTTTCGGGGCACTAGTCACCATCTTAATATCTGTTCCTACCTGCCCATTTCATCTTTGGTTACAGCCATGTGCAAGTCAATGAATGCCTTTTTTGTTTTACTTTAAAGAGTGATACGTAGAGGAAGTGTCTTTACACAGTTGAGACGCGGCTGTAGTCTTCTGGAAGCCTTCAGACCTTGTCCGACTGTTTACACACTCCACTCCAAGCATCCCTCAGCCCAGTTTCAGTTTGTTTTTGCAGCCTGTACTGTGCATATCTTTTCCTCCACTGTTGACTTGCCCTGTAGCTTCCACTGTGGCACCACTGCATAATTGCTCTGAAAGAAATACAGTCGTTCATTGTGTGGAACAACTGAAGTGCTCTACAAATGTGTGAATTCTAGCCCTGCTATTAGAGACCTCTGTCGGTAAATAAAGATGGTCGGTAAATCTTTTGCATTGTCACTCATTTAATCCTGCCTCAATACATGCAAACACTGTACAGTACTTACCTTTTTTGATTTTGCTTACAACCACACTTTACTACTATACAAACAGATTAAACGTATCTCTCACTCTTATGTCGTAGTTCCTTCTTGTAGCCTGTAAACCAGTAGACCCAGTCACTGTTATTTGTTTTTCATTTAAAACCAAAAATAGCAGTACTGCCATTTTTCTTTTTGATTTGCAGTTTTCTATTGCTTGTCTTCAAAACCTTTGTGAAATGAGCATCTTAAGCTCTCGTTGAACATTTACAAGGCCCAAGCCGGCGGTGTTCCCAAAGAGAGGAAGTGTTAGTCCAGCCATGGGACCCCAGTCTTATGACAAATCCTACCCGGTCTAGGACTGCCCAACTTGACCCACGGTAATGATTCTTACCATCTCCTAGATTTCTTGCAGCTCCAGAAAGCACTTCATTTGATTGACACAAGACCTAACCCACTTATCATATGTAGCATTCACTTCCTGCTGTCCAGGCAAGTCTTGTTCCCTTTGAATGTCAATAGTTTTGTATTGGCCCTTTAAGCCCCTGTCACACTGCCCCGAAATTGACACCCGATGGACACATGGAATTGTGAATTTCGCACGAAGATGACCCGAACCACACACGAAGGCAACATTTACATTACATTTAAGACATACAACTGCAACTAAAGTAACAAAAACGATTATGTTAAAGTACTATGATGTACTGATATTTTCAGACTTTGTTCTTTACTTTATCCGTCTTTATATGTAGAAGATATTAAGTTTTCTCCGTAATGTTGTTTCCATAGCAACAACAACTTCCTGTCAACTCTCCTTCAAAATAATATATCCTTTTCATTTTCACAGAACACAAATTGGGTTATTTACATAATATGTTTACATGATTTTGTTGTGCAATAAAACAACCCGATGGACACACGATAAAGGAAATGTTCAAATTCAGCTCTGATCGTAACAACATCGGGACATTCGTGAGGGCATCTTAAGCCATCTTTGGCTTGCCAAAGATGTTGCCACCGCTCCCGAAGTTGCTGCCGGAGCCTGAGAAACTCCACCGGCGGTCATACGATGGCTTAAGATGCCCTCACGAATGGCCCGATGTTTACGATCAGAGCCGAATTTGAACATTTCCTTAATCGTGTGTCCATCGGGTGTCAATTTCGGGACAGTGTGACAGGGGCTTTACTGGCAGCTCTGCTTACTGCAGGTCAACTATCAGAGGGTGTTGATACGAGAAAGGAAAAAAAAGACACTTCTGTTTGTTTTGTCAGATACCAGGCATCACTTGATTTAAAACATTATTCACAAGGGAACAGGACTCAGGACGGGCAGATTACATACACTAGTTTGTGGTGTTTGAAAATTGTGTTTGAATGGGCATGCAGGAGTGTTACTTGTCTTTACACACAGATCTAGGTGAGGAACAAAAAGCACTACAGTTAGATTTTTGTATAGTAGACATTTTGTTATTTTCTTTTATTAACCCATGACTAGCGGACTGGAAGGGAGAGTTTGATTCCCAAGAACAGACTGAGATGGTAAATTCACTGTGTAGAAATCAAACACACTGACCTACTGCTTCAGAAGGGGAGTAGTTCTTATTCAATTCTTATTAAATAGAAAGTCCAATAAATAAAACGAGGTGTGTCATATTTGGTATGGTTTTGGGGTGATTGTGTCAGAGGAATTTGGGAAATTCAAATGCTGGGAAACATCAAGAAGGGGAGAAAAGACAAAAGCATGAGGCATTATTTTATCATTTATCAGAACCAGATTATTTATATCAAACACAAAATACCATTCATATTCTTAATATTAATTTAAGATTATCACTGTGCCATTTTACCATATTTATTAACACTAGGAACAAATACATCAGGCGTCGAGAGAAAAACAGGCAATGCTCTGAAATTCCTCAACCAGTGTAAACTCAGTTATGCCGTTAAAATGATTTTTTTTGTATTGTAAATCAGTGAGTTATTATACAGTATATGGATCCAGATCGATGGATTGTTACACTCGCAAGTGTTGGTGACGGTGTGTCCAAAGCTCTTAAGACAAATCCATGGTAATGCACGAAATGAAAATAAAAAGTATTACTGTTGAAACATAATGAAAGACTATTGAAAGCTTCTTCTGATTTCAACAAGCAAGGAGGTAGTTCATGCACATCACAACAAGATGTGTGACAACATAGACACGGGAACAGGAATAAAGAGGAACTTGGTCACCAGCTCCGGTCATTGTGACCAATGTCTTTTTGTGTAGCCATCCTCTTCCTCTAAAGATGGCTTTCACTCATCTCACCAAAGAGTTTTGGTTTCAGGTCAACACGCACTGTTCTGAAAGAAGTCACCGCAGTCGATTTTGACCGCATTCAAAGTCAACTTCCCTCCAAACTCCAGCGGCTCGATGAAGATGTTGTGACTGGGGAAGAAACCCAGCATTTCCTCTTCCTCCTCATCCTCCTCATCCTCCTCATCCATTATTCCCGCTCCGTGTGATGAGATGTAGTCGACGGTGCTGTTGGTGTCCATGGACGTCTGCCGCAGGTCGGAGCTGTCTGAGTCGTGGGAGAAGCTCTTGATGTAGGTGGTCCGAGGATAGAGGACTGTGACCGTCTCCGTCTCAGGACTCGGGCTGGTGGGACGAGGAAGCTCCTCCACGTCCACCAGGATGGGCTCCTCTTCCTCCTCTGCTCCACTGGAGTTACTCAGCTGCAGCTGGAGGTTCATCTTGCCCTGTTTTGAAGGGAGAAAGAGGCTTAAACTATGAACAATGATCAGCTTTTTACAGAGGTGGGCGAAATACTCAGATTGTGTACTTGCTAGAAGTAGAACTAGCAGTCGAGGCGGGCTGGGGATGCGGGGGGGGGGGGGGGGAGCTTTAATGCTCAATAGAATATATTAAAAAAAAAGATTAAAAAAAAGAGGTAGAACTAGCAGAGAGTAGGAATACTTTGTTACAAGTAAAAGTTTGAATCACTTCATGCTGAAGGTTAGCTTATGAATGTTACTTCAGGTGTACCTTAAGTCTTATTTAAGTGTTGATTATAATTCAAATCACTCATAAAAATAGAAAAGTAGCTAGGGTATGGAAAGTGGAAGTAAAAGTACACTATTAACCTTTGAATTGGAGTAGGGTAGAAGTACAAAGTAGCAGCAAATGGAAATACTCATCTGAAGTACATGTAAATGAACTAAGTTACCTAACACCTCTGGCTTGTTATAGTATTGTGTATTTTTTCCACTTCTAAACATTTACCTTATCCTGAATACACTCTTTTGCCCACTTGCTGTTAGCAGGATCTGGCACAACGTCGAGCATGAGGCACTGGAAATACACCCACAACCTAAAGAGAGAGGGTGGAGAACAATATGGCATGGAAAATGTAATGGCATATATTCAATTATTCTTTTTCTAGCTTCATCATTGATTTTTGTATTTATCATTTATGACAACCATTGTGTATTTTCTGCAAAACCGCTTAGAAATATCCCTTTAGAGCTGCTGTTGCTCACATACCTCTGCTTGACTGCTGAGCTGTGGTACAGACACACCAGGACTACTACGATCGGGGCGGCCACTGCACACACCAGTAGAGGGGAGAGTTGGCTCTCCTCTGCAACAGTGAAACAGGGAGAAGTAAGATAGCAGTACATACAATTCACTTATATGGTACAGTCAGTTAAAGATGCAATGTGAAGAACCGACCACTGTGTCCAATAAGTCTAAATTCACTAGTCATTAGTGATGAAGAAAAGGCAACGACTAAATAATAGCTGGGAAACAACACGTACAATTCACCAAACTGCTTAAACTACAAGAGTTGGTCAAAATTACACTGCTATCTTCTTTATAAGTAGTATAAGCATATTTATGATTTCTAAATATCCACTTGTCACACTATAGTTTACGCTGTCCATCTGTGTTTTTACCATGCTGCTTATCTGTACAACAGCAAACAATAGAGGGTTTAATGGTAAAAGTGTTGCCATGGTGACGCTGTTTGGGGAGAAAATAATTGGTTTTGTTTGTGAGGAGAGACGAAGAAGTTAGGTTGGACTTGGGAAGCCCTTCCTTGGAAAATAAACCACAGCGAAACCAGTGAGTACTTGGGACAACAAAGATTTGGCAACAAATCAAGCCGAGGCTAGATAGATTTTGTGGTGAGTGCTGATTCCTTAAGGATTTTGTTTGCAAAGAATTGTTTCATCCTGATTTATATAGCTTTTTCTATTGTTGCATTTTGAAGGGAGGACATTATACAATATTTTTGTTGCGGCATGTGGTCTCATTAATGAATTATGTATATGAGTTTAGGGTTTGTTTTGTATACAATTGTGTTCAAGCATGCCATTAGGTTTCCACTTACTGCATTCCTTTAGTGTGGTCACATGGGCACCACGTATTATTTGAATTTCCTCTCTTAACCCCGTATTGGAATAATAATGGCTCTCGAATTGTGACTGTAACCAGGACTTGAACTTTTAATTTACAGTACAGACAAAACAGTAGTATTGATCGTCTTCTTATGTTACTCGTCTAGGCAATAAAGCAAATAAGCATAGCCTCCAAAATGTCACAATTTTTCTTTAAATAAAACTTATAAAGGAACTTACGCTGCAGGAAGAACGTTATCGGTGGCCCTACAGGTCCTTCTCCTTTAGCGGTGGAGGCCGTCATCCACAGTGTGTAGCGGGGTGAAGACAGGTCCTTGATGACGTGCTCACGCTGCGATGCCTCTATGGAGTCTGCAACACACATTCACATGCACACAGCAGAGGGAAGTTACACGTGATTGGCTGTATCAAAGACTACATGCTAACATTTGGATGAGAGAAGAGAAGAAATGATCCCACACTGTGGAATGATCTGCCTATGCATATCAATCAATCAATGTTTATTTATATAGCCCAATATCACAAATGTTACATATCAGACAGGCCTCCACACTGTCTGCCTTTAAATCGCTTCTTAAAACCCACCTCTTCTCCTTAGCATATTGACATCTTTTAGATTGTTGCTTTTATTGCTTTTAAATTGTCTATTGTTTTTACTTGTACTTGTTTTATTGCGTGTGAGCTGTGCTGTGTGATGTTTTGTATGTTTGACTGTACAGCACTTTGGTCTGGAGGTTTTAAAGTGCTTTATAAATAAAGCTGTATTATATTGTATTGTATGATATACAACACCATCCGCACTGTGAGTTTCCCACTATTTGTTCACACTTATAATATAATATTACATTTTTTACATTTATTAAATTGTAGAAACCGAATTCAGACAGGACCTTTTCAGATACACACAGTTGTTTCTTTGTCTTTGTTATCTGTTTACTTTATTTTCATTTTATTCAGTAGCTATTTCTTCAAATAGTTAAAACCACAATAATGAATTAAAAAGAATGCTTAAAAAAACAAAACAAAACAGCATCACCTAAATGTACCAGGCTTCTCAGTACAGATAAATGGTTCTTACAATGCTTCCTGTGTCCTCGGTTGTCATGGTTCTCTAAATAGATGTTGTAGTTTGTGAGACAACCTCCGCGCTGACCCCTGGGAATCTCTGCCCAGGTCACTCTCACCTGCTTCCCCTCAACCTTCTCCTGGACTGATGGAACAGCTGCTGGGGCTGCAAACACACGCAGAAAGAAACACTTAAAAAAACTGTTTTACTAGCTTTCTTTTCTGCCAGATATGTTTCTGCACTTATGTAACACTTAGACTTTACCTGATTCCAGAGTAGTGACCCCTGTAAATCTGGTCCTTCTCACTGAGCTCTCATTATAGAAAACATACACTGCTCCCTCGTAGCACTCAAATGGCTTGACATCTGCGTAAAGAAAGACATAGATATAGCAACAGAGGAAAATACAGTGGAGGTACATAGAGTAGTGTTTACTGGGGCTGTACTGCGTAGCTTAAAGCTCATTCATAACGTTATGTTTATATTGGAAACCTTTTCATTCATTCCCTTGCTTTTTTTTCACCTGTAATTCTCACAGTTGCAAATAAAGGCTATATATATTCTGAACTAATATTAGTATTATAGTAATTGTAGATTTAGATTATATTGGAGGCTGTGTGTTTGATTCTGACTTGTTTGTTCCAAATATCTCCAATAATTCCAGAGCGTTACAATTTCAGCATTTTTTGAAAAAGCTTCAACATTTAACAACAAGGTTTTATCTTTGAAAAAAAAATACTCCTTTTATCAATATGAGCTGGCATTTAGCCTTTAAAAAAAAAATGTAACACTGAAACGGTTCATTATTTAAAAACAACCATTTTACCCATATATGGTATTTCTAAATGTAGGATTTTTCTCTGAAGTTTTTTCAGTGTCATAATCTCAATCTTTATTTATTTATATAGCACATTTAAAACAACCTTCAGTGGACCAAAATGCTGTACAGGCAATAACTACAATATTAAATAACAAAATGGGAGTACAATAATAGAACAATAATTAAAAACATGATAAAAAGCACAATAAATATAAAAATATAAAAAACACATACAAATGTAAAAATGTAATGTTCAACTAGTATTAAACGCCAGTGCAAAGAGGTGAGTTTTTAGCTGAGATTTTAAAAGTTCAATAGACTCAGCAGTCTGGATATGTACTGGGAGGCTGTTCCACAGTCTGGGAGCTGCAACACTGAAAGCCCTGTGACCTCGTTTTTTTTTCCTGCACCGAGGAACCACCAACATATTTTGCTGAGCTGATCGCAATGCTCTAGCTGGAGCATGGGGGTGGAACAACTCAGACAGGTAACGTGGTGCCAGTCCATGCAATGATTTAAAAACAACAAGTAAGTACTTGAACTGGATCCTGTAACTGACAGGAAGCCAATGAAGATCTGCCAAAACGGGTGTGATGTGCTCATAACGTCTTTTCCCAGTAAGAAGGCGTGCAGCCGCATTTTGGACCAGCTGCAGGCGACGGAGTTACAATAGTCTAAACGAGACGTTATAAATAGGTTGATTAGCTGTTCAAAATCCTTACTAGGAAGATAGGCTTTTACCTTCCCCAGAAGCCGCAGCTGGAAGAAGTTTGTCTTGACAACTGAGCTTATTTGTTTGTTTGTCAAAGATAACTCCAAGATTTCTGACAGAGGGACGGCTGTAGGAGGCTAAGGGGCCGAGTACACTATTAAAGCCATCCAGGGGTTCAGACTGTCCAAATATTAAAATCTCTGTCTTGTTTTCGTTGAGAGTCAAGAAGTTGATTTCCATCCATGACTGTATGTCTTTCAGACAGCTAAGCAAGGTAATCCTAGATTCCTTTTTTGCTTTTATAGGCAGGTATACCTGCAAATCATCTGCAAAGCAATGTTACGAAATGTTATGCTTTTAAAAAATTGACCCCAGAGGTAGTAAATACAGACTGAACAGAATGGGGCCAAGGATAGAACCTTGAGCGGCCCCATATCCCAGTGGGGCTACAGCTGAAGAATACTGGCCAAGATGCACAGAAAAGGTCCTTTCTGACATATATGATTGAAATCATTTTAGGACATTACCTTTAATTCTTTAATTTAATAATCTTGCTGGGAGATTTCAACGCACATGTGGGCAATGATGGAGACACTTGGAGGGGAGTGATTGGGAGGAACGGCCCCCCTGATCAGGGGGGCCGTTCCTCCCAATCACTCCCCTCCAAGTGTCTCCATCATTGCCCACATGTGCGTTGAAATCTCCCAGCAAGATTATTAAATTAAAGAATTAANCCGTTTCCATGGAAACGCATCCCTCGCCATAAAAGACGATGTGGCTATAACTCCTATGAAAATGTTCAAAAAGTGCTCACAATTCACCTGTGTGCTAAACAGTCCAGCCGTGAAGACATCTACAGGACAGTTTTGAGATTTCTTCAAATGCCGTTGCCATGGCAACACAATGCTCACCATGAAACACGGTTTTCTCATAACTTCAGTGAAAACCAAACGGCCCAAAACTTCACAGGTTTGGTAACGATGCAGCCATCAGTGCATCTAAGCGTATTATGGGATGTCATCAAATGCCGTTGGCATGGCGACAGATCATTCGCCATCAAGTTAGTTCAAAAGTTTGCAGTTCAAATATTCTGCTGCTTTTCCAAGCCTTTTTACTTTATTTTCTTCTCTTATCACACATTCAAGCCCCCAGTGTTCATGTATCATTTCAATCTAAATTATTCACTTTCTTCTTACACATTACATTTCAGCATAGCAGTTTAGCTTCAGCCTTTCAGCATAAAGCATTCCCACTAGCAATTTCTTCAGGAATTGCATTCTCTAGTTATTCATATTGTTGTAATTTTCTGCTTCACTCTGACAACGTGCCACTTGCTGCTTGAAATGAACACCAGACATTTGATAACACACGCTTGGACAACATGATTGCAGTATATTCATCATTTTAAATCTTTCTATGGCTTTACTTTTGTTGTTGTTGTTTTCGTCACAGGAGTTTGGAAGTGAACCTTCCTTTTCCTCCACTCAAGACGACCCTCCGCTGTCGGCCATCAGTTTTATCTATCACGAGGAGAGGGACGACGTGTATCCCACCATCCACGTCGAATCATCCCAGGATACATCAGGAGAACCCACAGAGGACACACCCGTGCTAATGTCAGACCGCGGGACAGTGCTTTTTGACAGCCAGCAGGAGCATGGCTACAAACCCCAGATTGCCACATTGACTCCACAACAAGAGGAGGTAAAGGAGACAGAGGAAGAGCAAAGGGCCATATCATCAAGTTTAGATGAAGACAGTTGTGTGTTTGAAGGATTACTTGGAGGCTTTCTGTCCAGAGTGGAAGTGGAGCCCACTGATCCACCTCTGGAGCCGAATCTCAGCTCAGTTGGTGCTCTTTTGTGGCCCAAAACTCCTGAAAAAACAAATGTCTTGAATGAAGGCTTTTTACTGGGGAGGAGGGGGACTGAGAACAATGTGGAAGGAGAGTCAACCCTTGATTTACAAGAAAGTGAAAAAATGACTCCTCACACTACGGACACTTGTTTATCTCAGTCTACAGATGAGATAACCCTGACTGGTGGTTATTTCCCTCAAGGAGCTGCCGTGAGCAGCCCTGCACGCTGCGACACACTGTCATAGATATCAGGGCCAATGGGAACGACACACACAGGACAATCTGCACTACTTAACTGATTTTTAAGAAAGCATTATGTTCAAGCACCACTTTACTTGAAGTGAAGACAACTATCCCTTTGTTTAATCATGTTTCAGGTGATCTGTAATGATGAGCGATGTACTTATATACTAACAAAGCACTTATACTAACAATGGACTGGCTTATCTAAAGCCAGTTCAGTAGCACTTGAAATGTTTTGGCTCTATGAAACCTGATGTACTTATATGATTCTGTTTTCTTCAAGTGTGTATCTTCTTGGTCGAATGCACTTATTGTAAGTCGCTTTGGATAAAAGTGTCAGCTAAATGTAATGTAATGAGCAGCTCTGTTCAAAACTAAGTAAATAAATGAATAAGAAAAGTTTATTTTGTCAAGCCTCAATAGGAATCCCTAAAACTTGCATTCCTCTAATGGCCAACAGGGGGCGACTCCACTGGTTGCAATATGAGGTCTGTTTGTATAGAAGTCTATGAGAAAATTACAATATTTCTCCATTTATTTTTCATCTCAGTTGACTATTTAAAAAAAAAAAAAGAATAGTTTTTTTTCCTGACTTACTACAAAGACAGTACATAGTTATCAATTATGAACGTTATTAAGTAATTTTTTATTCTCTATAATCATTATTGAAGTCTGCTATTTTAAGATATAATTGAATATATTGTGGTCTGGTCGCCCTGCCAAGTGCACTTTGCACAACCTGGCAACCAAAATGTGTTTTTTCAGCTGTACAATTAATACATTATTTATAAGTAATTAATAGAACCATGGTCACAGCATTTTGAACCGCATGTTACGTAAATACACAGCTGTAATTATAGAGATGTAACTCATCCTGCACATGTCACAATTAAGTCATACACAGCTGATCTCTATTTACTACTGAACGTGTTTGTTTTATTTCAGTATTAAGGTGTGACCACTGTATGATTCTATTGTTAGCCATTGTTAATGATCCGACGCTGAAGTGACACTGAGTTTAACTCTTTCCAAAACACATCCAGACAAAAGTCAGTTGTGGGGTTTTCCTGTTACATATAATGGCTCAGTTTTGCGGTATTAAAATGTGCCCCTGAACATTTCACATGTACCACCTGCAGTCAAACACCGTTTTTTTAACACTTCCTGAGAGTTGTTTCACTTCCTTATTGAAAATGTAAAATTTCAGGGGTCTTTTGTTCCCTAAGAGAAGTTTAAGAATAAGTATATATTCAGGGGGCTGCATCTAAAAAAGTATTCTCTCATCCCTTTTTCTGATGCTTTGTGTGCAACACTGCAGTCGATACATTATTATAAACTAGTATTGTGCTTATACACCTTAAGGTGGTTAGTGCAGTTTTAAGGGAAAGTCCCCAAAATATATCATACAAAGATACGATGGAGAGAGAGACTTTGGTTGGCGTGGAAAATGTGATGATGAAAATGCATCTTGCAGCTTGTTGTGCTCAGCAGCTCCACCTCTCACAGGTGTCAGACTCTAAAAGTGATTATGAACATCAACCTGCAGACTTTCCTCCTCAGGTCAGAATACAAATAAATCCTCTCAATCTTCCATGTGGGAATCAGGCATTTATGGGATTAAACCTGAATCCCCGTCTTCTTCATTTTGGTAGTGATTCATGGACAGATTTATAAGGAAGCTTTGAAAATGCTGGAGAAAACCTAAAGACTACGTTATTTATTTCAATGTCCAGACGTTGGAAAATTACAGGAAATAATAATCTGTCATTGTAGTGCCAAGTGATGAAAGAAGTATTCAACACATTTAAAGTCAAAGTAAATAAGAATTAGCAGTAAAATAATATACTTTAAGCATTAATAGTCAAAGTAATGTTGCAGTAAAATGTTCCCTGTCAGTGTTTTACTAAGACGTGTGATGTGTTTAGATTATTAATGTGTGTGACGTTACTGCTGGAGTTGTTAAAGGCTTGTGGTGATGATGACCACTTGATCCTTCTGTTAATCTGAAATCACCCAATCTGTAGATTAATGGTCTTTACTGGACAGGAAGGGTATGAAGACATTGTGATCTGAAAAGTAAATAGCGACCAAAGCTGTTAGACAGGTAGCCTACATTATGTGCTTCAAATATGTAATTGAGTATATAGTTGCAATGACTGCAACATAAGTACTAGTCAAGTTCAGGAGAGCTCTTTAGTAACCAGTGGTGTAAAGTATTTTTTCTCATGTACTTTACTGAACATTTGATAGACTTGTAATTGACTTTTGCTTCTTTGTTCCTTTACCCTATTACAATTCAAAGGTAATTAGTGTACTTTTACTGCACTATATTTATGTAATACTTTTAGTTACTTAGCAGATTTTGATTAATTATGTGAAATATAAACGACACTTAAATAAGACTTGAGTTACACCTGGAGTAAATTCACAAGCTATCCCACACGGTAATTAAAATTAGCTCCACCTTTACCAGCTTTGATAAACTTAAATGCATTAATAATTGTTATCAAATCATATGGTGTTCTACACAATGAGTACTTTTACTTTTGTTTTTTTAAGTATATTGAGATGCTAATACTTTTGTACTTTTACTTCTGTAACATTTTGAAAGCAGGACTTTCCCTTAACAGAGTACTCCTACACTCTGTTACTTTTACTTTTACCTACAACATCTGAGTACTTCTTCCACCTGAGTACTTCTTCCACCTCTTTTCCACTATTGCTTTTACCTAACGATGAATCTCCTGAATCTGCACAGCCTTTTTGAGTCTAGTTTCCTTGGTGAAGTAGTGTGTGACTGATGTGTGTGAGTGAAGTGTGTCACTACACACCAGAGGCAGCAGTCAGTCACCACGGAGTGTCTGCCGTCAGCTCACCACAGTTTGGACACTCTGCTCTGATGAAATATGTGAGGAAGACTTAATGATATGGCTTTGAAAGGCTCCTTTGGCAATAAAGGTTGATATGATGCTGAGATGTGATGCCTTGGTGAGTATGACTTTCTGTTTGATTACCGTCCGGCATTATTGACTGCATGCAGCTGCCATATGTGTCGCTATAGGGCTCTGCCTGAACTCTTTAATATGCTTTTACAGTAACTATATAAGCGCCAGAGACCAGGATGATCATAAAGAAGCAAATGTATTTTACTGAGTAAAACATTGGATCATTACTATCAATCATTATTCCTCAGTAAATAACTTTAAAACTGCTCTATCCTAAATCATGATAGACCTCATATATGTTGTGTGTTTTTTATGTTTTAAGGTAACTTAGCAGTCCTCACGGCAATGTAAAAGACATAAAGAAAGCAGTTAATGATGGCGACACTGTCCCACACATGGACCATCCTCACTGCTGTCACTGTGTTGACTGTGCAGCTATGCGAGGGTAAATTCAGACTATTGTGCAAATCATTTTCTAACATTTCGTTTTCACGTAACATTTCAATGTACATTCTAAATATGTTATGGAGTTAAAAGCTATAAAAAACTAAGATCCTTTCTATAAAAAAACTTTAAATCATGTGTGTGTGTGTGTGTGTGTGTGTGTGTGTGTGTGTGTGTGTGTGTGTGTGTGTGTGTGTGTGTGTGTGTGTGTGTGTGTGTGTGTGTGTGTTTTGTAAAACTTGCATCTGCATGAGGTTTATGTGAAAGGCATATATGCAGAAATACTCTTCCTTATCTGTTCCAAATTCAACAAATCCATGATCAGTGGCTTTCTTAACTTCTCATCACTATATTTTATGAACATGAAGTTAATCAAAGTTAACATTTCTACTTTCAGGTACAAGGTGCTGTAACCTCACGTCCAGTGCTGGAATTGATGTGCGGCTAGGCTCCAGTTTTAGGATTTACTGCACCAGTTTAACGGTTACCTGCAGAAAAAAAAACTTCTACGGCCAAAATAACGCACCACTGCCCCACAAAGTATTGAATTCTACAACTATATATTACGACGTGGTTAACATAACGGAGAAGAAAACATATAGCTGTAAGTGTCTTTCCTCTAGCTGTGACTCCTGTGGACAGGACTTCTCAACTGGATGTGAGTAAGGAGGAAAAGCAGGAAAAGCATCCCTTTCTGAAACAAGTTTAGTTTATTTGCAAATATGTACATAATGAAAAAAGGGCGGGGAGTTAAGAATCCAAAATGTAAATTAGGATACCTCCCCTATTAGAGGTTTTACCAGAAGCTTGGTTTTACAAATTGAGATGCATTACACTAAAATCCATAAGGAGATTTAAACAACTTTGCTTATTATAGTCTAATTTTCTTTTAATAACGATAATACTGACGTTAACTGCAGTAAAGTTAGCATATTTAGGGAATGTCATGCTATTTTACCTCAAATGAAATGACTGATTATTGTGATGATTTTACACATTTATACTTTATTCTTATTCAAAACTCTGTGAATTTACACAGAAATCCTGCAGGGAATGTGACCCTGAATGGGGCTTAGAGATGAGGCTTTCATATCTTAAGACATTACTGTAACTTTTCAAGCTACAAGAGCTGTTAAAAAAAGGGGTAGGGTTGGTTCTGCTTTTTCCTAAACGGTTCGCATTTTGCAAGCAAGGCGCAGCGAAGTGTCAAAGATTAAAATGTGATAAGTTCTGACCACAGACCTTTTGCTAAATGAGGACTAAAAACAAGCTTGACACATGCAGCATAGCAGTTGTCTTACACCAAACATGCACACAATGTTATCAACATAAATACTCAAAATGTGTGTTCCTTCATGTACCACTGTTTTCAAATATAATATGACTTCATTATTTGACAGTCCTACAGTAATGGGTTCATGTTCTATGCTCAACACTTAATTGTACGTCCTGTTTGTCCATCAGATCCACCAGAGTGCCCTAAAAACATTTCATGCACCTACAAAGTAAATAATAGTGATAGTGGAGATGTGTCCTGCAGTTGGGACAGAGGACGGGATACTTTTCTGGAGAATAATTTAACACTGGGGTGAGTTCAACTGATTTAGAAGTACAACAATAATATCATACTGGTGGATCTACAGTCAAATAAAATGTGGCTTTGTGTGTTTCAGGATGAGAATTTTATCAAAAAAGCATACACATGCACCAATGCTGGACAGCTTCCCCAGTAAGGCAAAAACTGATGGGTCAGCTAGCGTCCGTGTGCCCCGCTCCGTCCTGATGATCGCTGTGTGGGTCCACGCCAAAAATGCATTGGGCTCTGCAACTTCCATCCACAAGAACTACACACTGAGTGACATTAGTAAGACACCAGCATATTTTCATTCATACAGCCAAGTATTTGGAGATGTTCTTGGCAACTTCTGCATAAATAGCGTGTTATTTCTCATGACAGTTCTAGTTGCTTTTAAGAGATAAAGACTCAATGATTGGAACTTAAAAGCTTCTTTGTAATATGTCCTTCTTTGATGCACTTATCTTCAAGGTTATGATAGTTTATAAACTCCCTCCACCCTTCTTTGAACTAGGCAATCAATGCGTCTTATGGTAGTTTGAGCTGATGAATCGTATCTTTTCATCACTTCAGATTTTAAAGAAATCAAACGTTAAAAATGTTAAGGCTTTATTTACATTTTGTGTGAGTTTTCCATAAGTCTGTGCCAATATTCAAGTAGTGCAATCCTCATAAATGCGATAACTAAGTGGACCTTTTTTTAACAAAGTCCACTTGGACTAAAAAACTAATATGCTTATTATGACAATTTATAAATAGGATAAAATCCTGAACAAATATATTTTGGACAGGAATAGATGTATCTGCATCTTGACTGGTTTGCATAGGCATAAACAAACGAGGTGCTAGCTCTGGTTCTGGACTTTTTATAGGACCTTTTACATAACAATTTTTTTCTGCATAGTCTGACTTAACATGATTTTTTATGTGATTAAATACTATGACATTTGTAAGTTAGTTGAAGTCTGTTGCTGATGTACTGGTATTATAAGGCTGTCTTAATTTGTCTAATTTATCTGATCATTCTGTGTTAATCTGAGCAGAGATGCCATCGACTCCTGTTCTTCGCCAACCGGATTGCTCTTCCCAAGAGTGCATCATCACAGTGGAGCAGCCTGTGATGACTCAGCACCTGGAGATCCAATACAGAGCGGACACACAGACATGGACATCTTCTCCACACTCAGTGAGAAGTCATATTGTCTGCTTATCTGTATTATTGTGTTGCATTGTTGGAGAAGCCTGTGACCTAAGATTGTCAACGACATAATTACTCTGTAGCTATGTTAGTTTGACAATAAAGAACCTTGAACCTTGAAGCCTTATAACTGTTCAGATTAGAGCAGATTTTGAAAATGTACGGACTTTCAATAAGATGTTTGCTGAGGAAGATTTCTCAAAGTCTTTGAAGACATAAAGTCACTGCATGCTGAGAACTCATAGCTCTTCTGCTAATTCAAAGATATAAAATAAACATATGTGTCAGGTGGATGTGCACAAAGGTACAGTACACTTATAATGTTGCCAAATGTTTAAAAACAAACAACATTTGAATCTATTTGGTGTTTTTGCAGTATGACCCTAAATGGTACTTCATGGCAGCGAGAAATCTTTATTGGAACATAGATGAGTGAGTTGATATCAATTACAATAAGATTAAAACCACATGTGTTTTTGCTCACAGGGTGTGCAGATGAGATCAGTGCAGGTTGCCTCTCTGGAGCCTTACACGTTGTACCACTTCAGAGTTAGATCCAAATTCAGCACCGGCCTGTGGAGTCTGTGGAGCGCTAGCATTTCCAACTGGACTGAAGAGGAAGGTAAGCAGAGCACTGGCAGAAGAAAACCTGTTTGCTTTCATTTATTGTGGAGTAAAGTTGATTTCAAAATGTAATAATCAGGGTAGATTGTTTGCCTGTAAGCATCACCTTCACAATGCACTTCTGTCTGACACTTGGTACAATATCCTGGGAAATAGAAGGCTTGAGTTAAGGCACAAAGGAAGTACGTCAACCATTGTGCAGTCAAAACAGGAAGAGGATAGCACTTTGGTTAGTGATCAAAGAGTATCAATGTGACTTATTTACAGTTATAATGCTCAGGAACAGAAATGATGTGGAAAACATTTATAAAAATGAATGCAGTGTGTTGTTGGTGGTTGCTAGGCTCTGAGGGAAACCGAAAGCAATCCGGTTGTCTTTTGCGACAGGAGCGCCCACAAATGTATCATTTAGAAACTTTTGGGGGTTAAAGTTGAAGTGGCCTGTTTTCACTACACTAACCTGCTGATTACTTTTGCACTTCCTGAATGAAAGAACCTCTGTTTCTGTCTGTGTGCAAGCAATTATATCCGAACGGATTATTTACAGTCTCTCTGTGGCACTTTATCTATGAAAGCTATCAGATGATGTTTCCGTTTCTTTGGGTTTTTTGAGGCAGTTATCAGGTCACCACTCACTGTCTGCAGGATACCTATAAGCCACTGAAACAGTCCTTATGGGTTTGTGTGTGTTGAGCAAAACCATTCATTATCGATAACACAGTATAGGCGGTGGCTTACAGAAGTAGTAACATTAAGCAAGAGCAAAGGAAAGTGAAGTAGCAATAAGGGGAGTGATGCTTCCTTGGAAATATCGTTCAACACTTTTAATACTGATGGTGTGAAGATATGAAGGTCTGATGTATGAGATATGAATGTGCAGCAGTTACAAGCCATCAGCTTTCTAACAGCTGCAGAGGTCGAGGTAGAAACAAATGCAGTTACATTTTTGGTAAAAGGTATTAACATTTTCTTTGTTTAAGCATGTATTGAACAAATGATTACACTATATTGCTATTTTTCTTGATGTGCAATCATCTTACAGAGATTTAAAAAATAAAGAAGGAAGCTAATCTACTCCTCTAAACAATTACATTTATTGGGAAAGTAATAAAAGCATTTCCCCACAACTGCTTTATGTGTAAAAATTATAGAATAGTCTATTGATATTTTGCTTAAAATACCTTTTCTCCTTTACTCCTGGCCTAATGATAACCAGTGAGAAATCTCTTTGACACAAAATGGGCTTTGGGATTTGATGAACGGGAGGTTACGTATTTTAAGACTCAATTATTAGACATCATTGAAGTTTAACTCCTACTTTAGCCTCCCATGAACATGCAGCTTTAAATCTCCAACAGCAGAAAATGTAATAGATTAGTTTGAGGAGAGTTATCTAGATGTTCAATGTCATAGATGTTCAAAATATACATTTGAACTTGTAAACTACCAAAATAGGGGCCCTTTAAGCTATCTTCAAGTATTTGATTCTCTATTTTATACACTGTTGCCCATAAAGTTGGAATAAAATATTGGTTACCTCTTCTCATGAAATGATTGTGTGTGTAAATAGGAATAAAAAGAGGAATGTTTCTGTAAACCAAATGATTCCAACTTTATGGGCAACAGTGTGTATAGATATGGAGGTTTCTTGGAAGTGTAACTCATTGTTGTCTGACTTCAGCTAACGTAGGAAAATGTGACAGAGCTGCAAAGTTATAGTTGGGAACTTTTAAAGAAGTCGTTGAGAAATCCTAAACATGTCTTTAACTTTGCCATTGAAAAAAACAGTCGTTCGGAAATTCAAAGACTCAAATATTAACCTTTTTATGAATGCTTTTAGTTTTATGGTCCAGTGACAGATTGTTTTTTGTTTTTAGCTCCTGCCAAAGAGTTGGATGTGTGGTATGCTGAACCGGCCTCTGACTTTAGATCCCTGACAGTTTATTGGAAGGTATGTTTTACATGTTATCGAAGTGAGTTGATATGATTGTGAATGCACATGAACACTGCTGTACAGTTTCATGAGATCCCTCTCGTGCTTCAGGTCTGCGTGGGTGTCAGGTGTTGTTGCCATAGTAACACTTTGTAATCTTCCCGTACTTCCTGCACACACTAAAGGTCAACCCTTGACCACTGATGCGGTGACACCCTCACACCCTCACACACACACTTGCACATCCCCACTCTCAACCACATATGGACACACACACACTCATTTAACATCGCATGAAGACAACGAGAGATGAGTGAAACCTGACAGTTTCAGTTTACAAGAAAAGAGGAGCTGAACAGAAATGATGTGCATATCTGACATGCTCTCTTTGTGTGGTGATTTTGAGCCGTCAGTAAAGACTGGAAAATCAAAAGCACATGACCCTCATGTTGTTGTTACTTATACTTTGTATGATGTTAAACGTAATAACTCACTTCTAAACATCCTCTGACTGCAGGAGCTGAGCATTTCTGCTGCCAAAGGGAAAATCCTTTCATACAGAGTCCGAGTTTACAGCCCAAACTCTGGGCAGAACATCACTAACGTTAGCGCCGAAGCCAGGAGTTATTCGGTCCCTTTCTGTGCCGAATGTGAAGTGTCAGTGTGGGCTTGCAACTCCAAAGGGTCGTCCCCTCCGGCCTATATTACATCTGAATACACAAAAGGTAATAACAAAGGAATGCCTTGTATAAGTAATTATCCGCAAGAAGCCAGCCTCTTTTGGTGAGCAGTGTTGTAAATATCAGACGCATCAGTAATACTGAGGCTGCATGTTTCTCTCTTTTAGTGAAGCTTGTGTAACTTCTGCTGTGCTTTATGTGTAAAATGATAGAATAATCTATTTTTTACTTCAAATACCTTTTCTCCTTTTCTCCTGGCCTAATGATAACCAGTGAAAAATCTCTTTGACACCAAATGGGCTTTGAGATTTGAGGTAAATATCAGATGCATCAGTAATACTGAGGCTGCATGTTTCTCTCTTTTAGTGAAGCTGCAGCATTTAGATCCCCTCCAAGATGTGCACAAAGTTGCAGACAACCTCAGTGTCACCCTCTCCTGGAAGAAGCCCTACGCTGCAGTGAGGCGGTCTGTGGTGGAGTGGTTCCCCAAGGGCCACATGATGGAGCTCAGATGGGTCGGACTGGGCCGCAATGAAAACCATGTTGTTATAACAGGTGGGTATTAGAGAGTTAAAGGAAATACTAGGTCTATACTGAATGTCGTGTGTTTCGTACATTCAAAGTGGTGTTTATTAATGAAGCTGTGAAGGTCTATGTCAAGTTATCATATTTATGAGACTGCTGAAAGGCGTTTTTACTACTATTGGGTCATGTATTTTAACTTTGATAAATATCTCTCTCACCTGCGTTCCAGCCTTTTTTAAACACGCTGTAGTGCAGCCTCTTATCAAAAAACAGAACCTTGATCATTCTGTTCTCTCCAACTTTAGACCTATTTCTACCTATGTCTAAAGTCCTAGAGAAAGTGGTGTTAGCGCAACTGCAGTCGCACCTTGTTTTAAACTGCATATCAGAGAAGTTTCAGTCTACGCTGGAAAATTAAGGTTGTGTGTCCCAAGTTCGCACTATTTTTTAAAAACGCACCCCCAGTTACACAGTTTTTCGCTCGTCTGTTTTAGATTTTCGTGTTCGTGTCGTCTTAAGGTCTTAGACATTAATTCTATTTAGTAATTTTTGAGAACCCTCTCGGTCAAAGACACGCACATACCGCACTAATTTCTGGTCTGACTTCTGAAGAAGGACGTATACGTCAAATCTTTTGTTCACGGCTGCGTCACGGCGATTGTGGTGAAAGAGATCCGTGAAAATCTGTATCCATCTTTATCGAGATTTCACCTCCTCTTGTCTCTACTAAGGTTCGCAAGAGCAAAAAACTATTCTCCGACGTGATAGTCGCACAAATTTTTTCGACCTTAGCGTCCACTCTCTTACCTATAAATAGTTTCAATTTAATGTACGTGGGTCTATCATCCATTTCTGCCGGAAAAGTCGTCAGAGTGATTTTAATACTACATTGAACTGTATCTGCGAAGTGTCGGAAGTAATTATTCTGTGGTGAAACGTTACATGCTTTGTGTGCTGTACAGAAAAATCATATCTGGAATCATAAAAGGAAATTGAAGCACGATTATGGGTGGACGAATATTGTTGTACCAAAGTACGCCGGTCAGGGCTGGGTAGACTCGGAGGTAGTACACCGGGGAACCGCCTTTGGTGAGGTGGTGTCTGGCGGAGTGCGTCGGGCATCCGAAGAAGGTCCTCTCCCGACTGTGACTCCAACAGACGTTGAAACACGGGTGTAGACCTCCCCTAGATTTACGACGGTCGAAGTGATTTTCCTCCTCCTTTGTACGGTCGGAGTCATAAATGACTACGTACGACTATAAATGGAGTTTAGAAGTTTCGGGAAACGCACAGTTTCTCTAAAAAGTGACAATAGTAGAATCGGTCCCTTTACTCTTTTTCCATAAACTTCATTTTTTATCTAATAAGCATAGTAAAATGTGTATTTCGTGTCGTTCTTCAATGTGTTGCGAAGTATTTTCGTCCTTGTGTACGTCGGAGCTCATGAAAATGACTACGCCACGACTGGTTCGTGACGGCAGTCGGTTTTCTCGAGGCGGGGAAGAACCCTATAATGGAAAAATATGTTTCGGTAAAGGACAAAATAATGGACAAGACACATAAAGTCATACATATATAACCGCGCCTCCGCCTGCTGGGAAAACCTCGAACGTTCGGGTGTGACTGTGAAGTGTAAGCGCGTGTCTTTTTCCCTGGAATTATTGAGGACCGAAGAAGCGCGCGCTTGCAATCACTACAAGACGGGTCTCACGACCTGCGCCCCCGCGGGCGCCGCGCCCCAATAGCGCCGGGACCGAATTTCGAGCTGAGACATACGTTTCCTAAAAGGAAACCGTCGTCTTTACGGAGTCGAGGCGTCAGTCTCCTACGAATCTTCGACTAATAATGCAAATTTGTAGTAATGATTTCATATTCATCTGTCGTTGTACTCCCAGTACACGAAGAACTAAAAGGTAACGAAATTGCTGCCGAGTTTTAGGGTGTGTTTCTCTCGTACCAGTCTATACGTGTAAAAGTAACAAAAGAAAAAAGTCGAGGAGAAAGACATGTTGACTTTGTGCAGTCAATAGTGAAGTAGAGAGTAACAGAAGTAGTAATTTAATCACCCCACAGGTATCACCCACTCTCACCTACCCGTTCACACTCCCACACTCACAGTGGCGTAGTCACAGTTCCAACTGGAAAATCAACCACGTCCTTCATGCCTTCTCATGTTTCACAAATGATACCCGTTGTTGTGGACTGTGGGTGCGGTCCTGATTCGTGCCTCTCCTAGAGTACTTCTGACATGTCGTCACAAGTCTCTAGGGAGAGCACGAGTACACGAACGCCACCCCACAGTCCACACAACGGTATCATTGTGAAACATTAGAAGGGCATGAAGGACGATGTGTGATTTTCAGTTGGGGAACTGGTGCACTACGCCACTGTGGGAAGTGTGGGAGTGTGTTGTGTGACGTGTAGCGAGGGTGAGAGTTTGGTGTATACTGTGTGTGCTCTCGCGTCAACATTGCTAGCGTACTCTGGTTACTCCCTCCTACTCACTTTTGCGACTCGCTCAAAGTCACATGTTCCTTTCTCCTCGACTTGTCCCTTTACTCACCGAGTATAGACTGTACGAGAGAAAAACACACTCACACACTCGGCAGTCATTTCTGACCCTTCTCGCTTCGTCGTACTGGAGTACCAACAATGAATTATGACAAATACTACATTGCATTTATTGAGGTGAATGATTTCGTAGGAGACTGACGTCTCGCTCGTAAAGACAGCGGTTTCCCTTTTAGAGAAAAGTTGTCCTCCAGTGCTCAAATGTCGGGTTTGAGACCTCGTCTTGTAGTATTGCCAATCCGCGGCTTCGGTCTTCAATAAAGCCAGGAAAGACCGCGCTTACACTTACAGTCACTACCGACGTTTTGAGGTTTCCACAGGGGAGGTGGTTATCCAATGTAGACTTAATGGTCTTGCATTATTGTTCCTTCGGAACATATTCATTAATAGGCGTTTCTCGGCTCGGCCGCACACCCTGCCTCAACCATTTATAGCTCTGCCCTCCGCTCATTAATGACTCCGACGTACAAAGAGAGAAAATCACCTTCGAACACCATTGAAGAACGACCGCTCTTCCATTCTTATTAGATAAAATGAAGCTTCTCATGGAAAAGAGGGAAAAGAGGACCGGATTACTATTGGTCATTTTTAGAGAAACTGTGGTTTACCCGAAACTCCTAACTCCCCCATCTTATAGTCCTAGCCCCTAGCCTTCATTCCTGCCCCGCCGTACAAAAGAGAGAAAAATCACTTCGACGTCGAAATCTAGAGGGAGGTTCTACCGGTGTTTTAACGTCATGTTGGAGTCACAGTGGAGAGGACCTTCTTCGGGACGCGACGTCATCCGCCGACACCACCTCACCAAGGGGTTCCCGGTGATACCTAGCTCGAGTCTACCCAGACCTGACCCTGGCGTTATCTTTTGGTACAACACATATTGTCCACCCATAATCTCTCATTTCCTTTCTGATAGATCCTGACTTACAGACCACAAGCATTAAGTTTAACAAAATAATATACTTCTGACAACTTCCAGATACAGTTCAATAGTCAATAAATAACCTCTGACGAACTTTCCGCCAACACAATGATGATACACCCAGTACTAAACATTGACAACTCATTTCATCAGAGAAGTGGACGCAAGTGTCGGAAAAAATTTGGTGCGACATAACGCGGGAATAAGTTTTTTGTCTTGGAATAGTAGACAAGGAGTGTTGAAACTGGATGAAAAGATGCATACAGATTTCAGGATCTCTTTCACCCCCACACAATCGCGTTGCGTCAGCGTTGGGAACAAACCATTTGACGTAAGTCTCTTCAAAGTCAGACCAAAATTTAGTGCGGTATCGTGTCTTTAGACGAGAGGTTTCTCAAAATTACTCGCAATAGAATTAATGTCTAAGCTTTAACGACGACACGAACAGAAACATTAAACAGACGACGAAACATGTGGTCACTGGTGCGTTTTAATAAAATAGTGCGGAACTTTGACACACACCCTTAATTTCCAGGTAGTAGCGCAGCCGCACACGGCGCGCCGGCTAACAACAACACTCTCTCTCTCTGCGCACCTTCAAGGTTGTGTGTCAAGTTGTCCGCTCCTTCTCTCTCTCCGTTACCACAGGTTTTCGTCGTCCTCGCTTTTAGATTTTCGTGTTCGTGTCGTATTAAAGGTCTTAGACATATTTCTATTCTAGTAATTTTTGAGAACTCTCGCAAGACAGATACCCACTAA